ACAGAAAATTGTTTACTTTTACAATCTGGGTACGTACAGTCATGCATGGAACCTGAAATTCCCATTAATTTAAGTTTGTGGATTAAGATATTGTGAGGCACTTTATCGAAGACCTTTGCAGAGTCTGTATCAATGGTATGTAGTTCTAACTCATTTCCAAAGGTTTCAATGATATTTGATGATGGGTCAACAGATTTAGTTCCATATTTCGGCCAACACAAAATCCAAACTGATTATTTGAGATCAAAGGTGAGAGTACTGATGTTAAGTAATTTGTTACTAATTTTTCAAATATCTTGAAAGCTGTGCTCATAATACTGATCGGCCTGTAATTTTTCACATCTCCATTGTCTCCAGACTTGAAGATGGGGGCGACATTAGCTAGATTTCCAGACGTCTGGAAAGTGACCAGAGCTTAAGACTTGTTAAATATAATGTGCAGAGTTCTGGCGAGTATAAAAGGACAATTTTTGAGTAAAATAGGGTAAATTTTATCCGGGTCAGATATTGAAATAGGATAAGATGGTATATTAATAGTATTTAGGGAGGTTTCTTTAGTAAGTATATTTATGTTGATTTTGAGAGTATACTGATCCGGAATAGTTTGCAAAAAGGTTGGCTACATCTACACCTATTTCACATATTACACTGTCAAGGGAGATGTTGGTGGGTAGGCTATGAGAATTGCGTTTAGAGTTTATGCATTTCCAAAACTGTTTTGGATCATTGTTGAGAGAGACCTGAACATCTTGGAAATAATTTTTGTAGCATTGCTGAGATAGGGACTTGCATAGAGTGCGCAATTTAGAAAATAATCGATAGTTTTGTTGAGATGGTAAGGAACGAAAATTTTTGTGGCCAATTTTTTTCTCAATAGTTAAACTGATGAGTTCTTGTGTAAACCACTTTAGAAATTTCCTACTAGCAACTTTTTTAATAGGAACAAAAAAGTTTATTACACTGTTGAGAATATCATAAAATTTCTATACCAAATCTTGTATGTTGAAGCTACAGAAAATCTCATCAAAATTAAAGGAACCCAGATAGTTGTTAACAATAGTAAAGTCAACGGATTTGAAGTCGTGATAGAAAGTTTCTGCTTGCGGACTGATAGAGTTTATTTTGTTATGTGAATATTCAAGATAAAAATGTAGAGGTGGGTGATGTTCTCTCCCCTACGAAAGTAGATTTTTTTATCTTGCATAGGCGTGTGAAAGCGAAAGTGAAACATGCTCGTAATTATTTTCACTTTCGCTACTAGCATGTTTCACTTTTGCATGTCTATTCACAATTTTTGAAGCGGAAGAATGAAAAGTTTAGTACATTACACGCTGATGCAAAAGCCCTTTTAGGTGCTCGAAGATATTCAAATAGCCTCGGCTGCGCTTCACTTCGCCTCGGCTATTTGAATACACCTCGAAGCTTGGAATGTAAATAACTATTTCACTAGTGGGTCACATTGTTTCACATAAAAAAATTTTTGTGAAAGCACTAAATCTAATATGACATTGTTAATAGTATATTACATACCGAGTAGGGAAGTGTTTCATTACTGTCGAGAGATTTATATAGTCAATCGAGACGCGAAGCGTCGAGATTGACTAATAATCTCGAGACAGAAATGAAAACTTCCCTCCGAGGTTTGTATACTATTTTATTTGCAAGCACACCATTAATTATGATTAGTCAATCAATTTTTTTAATATTAAAAAAATAAAACAAACATGCCAAAATGTGTCATTCGCTGCTTTGACGTTTTTACCTGACATGTTTTCATTGTTGCCAGCTTAGGTAAATAAATTAGAGTGAGGGAAATCGGTGAGGGAAGTCGAATAGGAAAATCGGTGAGGGAAATCGAAGAGGGAAGTGACACAGGTAAAGTGTCACTTCCAAATTTTTAAAAAGTCAGTAATGACAAGATCACATATATGATTGCAAATAATAGTTATTTACCTAACAAATGCGGAAAGTGATACTTTACCGGACGCATCGGCAGTTGACCGAACGACGCGAAGCGGAGTTCGGTCAAGCCGTTAAGGGCGGTAAAGACACTTCCCGCATGTGTTAGGTACAAAATTTTACCTATGAGCATCTACATTTCCAAAAAAAGGCATTTATAAAATTAATTAATGAATCAGATTAATTAATGAAATTAGATAAGATTTAGAAATGATCAAAAATCCATTTTCTGAAAAAAAGAGGATTTTTGATTATAAATATCAAATTCTACTTTACCGCACACTATGCGGTAAAGTGCATTTTACCGCACACTTTGATTCTACTTTACCGCATACTATGCTGTAAAGTTAACTTTACCGCACACTATGCGGTAAAGTGCACTTTACCGCATAGTGTGCGGTAAAGTGATACTTTCCATTTGCAAATACGTGCGGTAAAGTTCACTTATTGGAGAAGATTATTATATGCACACATATCTCACACTGCACCAATAGAGTCAATGGTTTGAGGGGGAATGTAGAGATCAGTCCGAGGTAGAGCAATGGAGCAATCTTCGATAAGGTTCCATTCAATTCGTGGTAGATTGAAATTACCAGCAATGTAAAGCTGAGCACTAGGATATTTTTCTGGAATAAAATCAACAGTGTTGCCAATTGCCAGATAATTGTCCGATTGCTGGACTATTTGAGTTTGTAATTTGTGTGACAGAACAGAAAAATGCGACCGACTGCCGACGGTTTGTAGATTTCTGTAATTACTCCATAACCAAACCCCAATCTCCCTACTCCCTGTATAGGCATGTCATGGCATGTGTATAGGTACGTCATCTGTTCCTACTTATGGCCGTGTTTGTTTTTGTCATCTTTTTTGTCGATTTGCTCCGAAATGTTGACCGGCATGTAACTGGATCAGACAATTTCAATTTACAAATCACGTGCCTGTCAAAATTTCGGAGCAAATCGCCGAAAAAGATGACAAAAACGAACACGGCTTATGTTGGGTATCTAATCCACAAAGACATTGTATGTACATACATGTACCTACGTATCCCTTTTTTTTTTGTAATATATCTAATCATTTCTTACAAAAACAAAAAAAGTTTCCCCCCCCCCCTCCCGCACATCGCCAATAAATAGATGTTTGGGGCGAGATCGAGTTAACCCATGTATAATTCCGTAATATTGTATTGGCAACACTGAAAATCAATGGATTCACTTACCATCTGGGTCTTTATTCTTGAAACAGGGGAGCAGCGTTCCCAGGAGAACGTGTGTTTTGTCTTTCTCAATGATATGCAAATAATAATATAAGTAACAAAGACGGAACACTCTTTCTCCTGGGAATGCTGCTCCCCTGTTCCAAGTTTCAAGAATAGGGCCCCAGGTAGGTGGAATTTGGGGTGTTCGGAGGAATGTTTAAGCATCCAAATATGTATTCTAATTTTCTTTGTCCAACACATACAAATATTTATTCCAGCTCTGCATTTGTAGGAACTTGTGTACAGCAATCAAGGTGCCTTCCATTGATTTCTTTGTGCTCTATTCAGTGGATCGGTCTTTTCTGAAGACAATGTAGTTATCCAGTCCCAATTTAGCATTGGCCGGATATGGTGTTTGACAGATTGGTTTCAGTAAGCATAATTAAATCATTTCATTCATAATCATTTGTTGAAGAGTTGCAAGTTGTTCTTAATCCTTGAAAATTCTGGTAATATATGATACGTTTTTTTATTGATTTTATTGATGTAGCCTCATGTCCGTCATCTACTAGTTTTCCTCATCTCTGTTGAGGAATGTCTAATATATATAATTGTAAGGGATAATTCACCCTTTGACTTTCGTTGTTTCAATTCTGAGCGTATTTTGTTTTCAATTTGTAGCTGTTTTGCAGTCAGATCAAGGTTCATGTAAATGTTTTTCCTCTTGAGCTTACTACGGCAGCGTATCAGCGACTGCACATCATTTTACAGATTTTAGGGTAACTCTTACTGCTCGTGCACCTTTGATGTTTTTTTTCCAACTCTGGAGAAGCACTCTTAAGTTGGAGGTGAGTTGGTTGAGCTGCCAAGCAGGGTTGCTATATCATTTTCATCGTCGTTTCTTTCAGGCACGTTGGATAGCATGACATTGTTGGCCCTGGATTGACGGTCTTGAATTTCTTGCCAAAAAGTCTCAGTGTCAGCCGGGTTGGAAGGGCAGGATACTTATGTTAGTATTGCTTGAGGAACTTGATGTAAGCACGGCAATTTTTTGCTCTAGTGTTTTAGTTAAAGTCACTAGATTCTGTTCCAGAATTTTAGTCGATTATGGTGATAAAGAATTAATTTGTTTATTGGTTTTGCGATTCTCTTCCTCTGGAGTGTGTTAAAATTTTCCCAAAGGGTGTAATTTCAGCTTGCATGCTTTGGCAGTTCCTAATCATCAGTGGAAAATATTTAAATGCATCGCGGCACTCATCGCAGAAGTACAATGTACATTAAAACACGCTTCTGAAGAACAACAGCTCTCATTTCCTATACAGACAGCTTTGTTAAGGTGGGTTACACAGCGGCAGCTATCACAAGCAGCATAATCACTATCTCGAAGAATTTCTCTTCTGCATGTATTGCACACTGGATTAGGTATATTTTATATTCTACCTAACCTCAAAACCGAAACCACTTTTGTTTTAGCAATACTTGAATTATTTAGTTGTTTCTATCAATTGTTATGTAGAATATACTCTCAGCACTCGAAATAGCACAAGATTCTTATTATTTAACTATAAATTTATGTAAAATTATGGAAAATTATCATAAGCAGAATTTGTGGCTTCTTTCCAATGCAGTAGGTACCTAACCTAAGCTCTTCATTTAGAGTAACTAGCAAAGAAAACGTAATCATGCTGTCCCCAACCATCAGAGCAGATGTTTTGGACAAAGCCCTTTTGCGTCCTGGCAGATTCGACCGACACATTTCAATAGACAACCCAGACCTTATTGAACGCAAAGAAATCTTTGAACAGCATCTTAAAGGCATCACTTTAGAGCATGCTCCTAATTTATGATCTTAAAAAGATTAGTTTTTTTGACACCAGGATTTAGTGGAGTTGACATTGCAAATGTATGCAATGAAGCCGCTCTATATGCTGCAAGATTCAAACAAGAACAAGTGACAGGGGCTAATTTAGAGCATGCAGTAGAAAGACTTGTTGGCGGCACTGAAAAAAGATCGCACTCGATGTCTTCTCAAGAAAAACGTATTGTAGCATACCACGCATCTGGCCACGCCCTAATCGGTTGGGTGCTAAAACACACCGACGCTCTTTTGAAAGTCACCATACTGCCCAGAACCAGTTTGGCTCTTGGATTTGTCCAATACATACCGAAAAAGCAAAAACTTTATACTAAAGAAGAACTTTTTGACAGGATGTGCATGACTTTTAGGAGGCAGAGAAGCTGAAGCGTTGACTTTCAATAAAATCACAACCGGAGCACAGAATGATTTGGAAAAAGTTACTTAAATGCGGCTTGTGCTAGTGTTGAAGAGTATGGCATGAATGAGTTTGTGGGTTTGGTAAGCGGTAAGCTTTCCTGAACAAGAAACAAAATGGCAATGGTTGCCTTTGATTCAAATTGATTTGTATTATAGGTAGGCGGCCTTGTAGCAAAAAATTCGCTAGTCTGATAGACATTGAGACAATAAAACTTGTTGGTAAAGCTTATCAATATACAGAAGAGGTAAACTCGTATAAAGACAAACTACAACTGCTCAGTTGATTATATAAAGCTTGAATGCGCGCTAAAGTTTTGTTTCTAGCTGGCAGAAGCGTTATTGAAACAAGAAACTCTCAATAATGCAGATGTAGAAAGACTACAGGTCCTCTACTTTATGGCTAGAAAAAGTTAATTGCGGAGTTTGAAGAAAATATCAGAAATGATGCGGGAGATATTAGATCAACAACTGGCGAAGCATTAAAACCTATAGCTAGGTGATTTGTAGTTAGCCTCTGGAAAATGTAATATTGTTCGCGATGTTTTACTAGAATTCCCTAAGGTTGGAAAACTAATTTTGAGTATACAATATAGAGTCAAAATTTAGGGAATAAAGAGAACTTGGTGATGGCTCTATAATTCGAAAAGTTATCATTGGTCTGATGACCATGAGTGGCTAGCTCTCTGTTTTATTTTTGCCAGATGGAAGTTTCAGGTAAGCCATTTATCTAGAGTAATTCCTAGAGGTTTGACTTCGTTTGCATAGAGTACCCCCACCCCTCGTAGGTTAAGTTAAGGGGTAGCAGATGGTCAAAAACTGGTTGGACTTAGATGCAAATTTTGAGCCAGACAGTATCCAAGAACCCGAAATCTCGATTCAAGAAACCAAACACTCAGACAGAAGGAAATGACGTGATCAGAACTATAAAGAGGGAATCAGAAACCATTCCCCAATCATTCTTTATCAAGATATTATGTTATGGACATCTCTTGATGGCCGTTGCCACTCTATCGGTGGTGATGTTTTTTTTTCTTTCAAAGTTCTAGGTAAAGTCATTGAAAAAGCTTCTCAATCCTGATTCAAAAATCCAAATTTTTCGATAATGTGCCGAAGACATTAATCATATTTTTTTTTTTTTTTTGGAAAATGTCACCAGATGGTCTAAAGTAGCGGTAATCGGAACCGCGACATATCCTGCGCTTTGACGCCGACGGTCGCGCGTTGACGCGATTTTAGCACTTCGGCTGTATTCAACTGTTTCGCGCCACATCAAAGACGGCACCGGCCCTTATCAAAACAAATGCTGGATATCGCGGTCTCTTTGATTTCCGGACGGAGATCGGATGTCTCATTTAGTCCCGATCTAAAGGTGTGGAAGATGCTACTGCGCGGGACCTGAGTGAATTAGACTTGATTCGACGACTTTAATCGATGATAACAGGAACATCGATGGTTTCACAATAATTTACATGTTATTTTTTCAATACATGAAAATAACAAATTAACCAAAAACAATACAAAATGTGTTTTCCCAAAATTAGCTTCAATATTGCACGTTTTTCCATGCAATTATATTTTTTTTATTTGAACTGGTTATTTTTTAATCCACAATATTCCTGGACGCAGGACGGAAGGAAAATTCATTTTTTTTGGGATAATATTTTTCCAGTCGCAGACCGCTTTATTTTTTTTTCCAACTGTCGAAAAAATGAATAATTAACAACGTGATCAATATTGGATACAATAATGAGGTTTTTGCAACAATGAAAATTCTTTTTAAAAATATAATTACAAAACCTACCTAAAATCTAATCGACCGCACACACAAGACAACCTTTTTAGATGGTTAAACCCCGAGCCAAATAACTTTTTGCTCCCGTTGCTCTTTTCAAAAAAAATAAAAGTCTTTAATTCCTTGCGATGTTATTTTTTCAACGGCGCAAGATACAAATACAATAAAAAAAGATTAAGAAAATGCAACATAAAAGAGCAGCTTAAATCGACTGTTCAATTCTCACAAAAAAAGAGGCTGTCAATTTGAGCTAACCGCACGCTTTAGTCCAAATCGAATGTTATTTCACGTGTAAGATTTGTTTTTTTTTTTGGAATTCAATTGAAACTTTAAATGCCCTTAAAGAGTGAATGTTGGAAAAATTTAGCCCAGTTCATCCAGTTTTAAAAATAAACCATTCGAAAAACAGCCCGGCGGAATGCAGCCAATAATTCGGAACACCGAAACCTATTTGTGGTTTACAAGAAAAAAAATCGAGCAGGAACTGAAATAGATTTTTGATTGACTGGCACCTGGAAGGGTACGTACTATCCAGGACCGGAATTTCCGTAAGTCAAACATTGTCGGTTGAAAGTTGAAATGAAGGCAAAAGATTTTTGAGAAACTCACATTTTTATCTCAACTAGGTCCGTTAGTGATACCCCATCTCAGTGCATGCTTGTTAAAGAAACATTGGGTACATTCAGGCGGTGCCAGCAGCTAAGTTCAGCCACTCAGCAGGAACTTTATTCTCGAAAATGAGGAACAGCGTCCTCATGAGAACCATTGCTCTGCCATTGATAGCAGCAGGCGCGGATCCAGGGAAGGGCCATGGGGGCCATGGCCCCCCCTAGATAAGAAAAAATAATTTTAAAAATCAACTAAATCGACCAATTTTTCCGGATATACCAGGGCCCGTATATAACAGAATTTTATTTCATGGCGTTATTTTATCACAGGTAGATGATAGGTGTGAACACAAAAGTTGTGCAGTTTTAACTAAATTTTCAGAATCCATCGTCAAAAACAAAAGTTTATTGTAAGAAAGGACCCTGCCCAAAGTATACGGAAATTGTGTTTATGTCGGGATTGGCTGAATTTTGTATATAATGTAGATCGCGCCTTTCTGATTCAAAGTTACCATTGCACCAATTCTGAAAAATTACTCTACATAGCATACCACTGCGCCACGAGCTTACCTATTTGTGCTACATTGAACGTCCATTACAATGTCCAAGCGTTTTACTTGCTACCTATGAAATTAATTTTCTCAAAAAGGAGTCATATTTCAGGATTGGTGCAATGGTAACTTTTAATCAGGAAGGCGTGATCTACATTATATACAAAATTCAGCCAATTCTGACATAAACACAATTTCCGTATACTTTGGGCAGGGTCTTTTGAAATTTTGCGTACCTACTTTCAACTTTTTTAAATGAAATGCCCTATATTTGAGACTCAGAATTAGTTTTACTTGTTTCTGAACCAAATTGTGATTATTCCAGGCGTTTGGCAACATTGCATGACCAACTATGATTTAAAACAATTGAGTAGAGTTTCAAGCGCCTGGAATCGATTAAAAATGCATTTCGCAAGAGTATGACGTCACTGGGAGACCCATGAAAAGATGCACTTTGTACAGGGTGTTTTTTTATATTTACGTATTGACTATTGACACCCCACCTACAGCCTTTACCTTTACAGGTAGAAGAAAAATGTAAATAAAAAAGTTGTACAGTTTTGACTGAATTTTTAGAAACCGTGCTCAGAAACAAAATTTGAATGTCAGAAATGTGAAATTTTGCATGCTTCCAGCTTTTTACAAATGGGATGCTCTATATTTCATTCTATATTCTTGAAGAGCACAATGCTCCGATTCCAATGTGTGTGAACCATTCTGATGAAAGCTTCAGGTAAAACTCGAGGCACTTGGTCTCTCTGATAGTATTTTTAAAATTTTTGAAGCCAAATAGGGTGGAGACGGCTCAACTAAATCTAGAGAAACTATACAGGGTGTCCCACGACGTTTCTCCCAGGTAATAACTTCGGAACGCGTCATTCAATATAATTGAAATTTCTAGGATCTGGGTAACTTTTTGTGCCGCTTCTACCATTGTCATCCAATTTCACCAGGGCTAGGATCACGACAAGTAGAATTCTACTGGAATTCTACTCTCATGACCATCATCGTCGCTTGTACTGTACGCGATAAATAGGTCGCGAGTGTTGTCATGAAAGTAGAATTCTACTCGTCGTGATTCAAGCCCAGTTTCGCTTCAATTTCGGTCAAGTGACGTCATCTTTCGAATCTTGAATGTAACTTATGGTATATTATGGCATTTTTCGTTAGAAAATTAAATTACAAAATCGGCAATGCCATATTTGTTACGGCTTTGTTAAAGAAAATGATAAAAAATTATACAGTGGAACATACGATGATGCGTTCCGAAGTTATCATTTGGGAAAAACCTCGTGTATATTTTTGGAATCGGAAAATTGTGCTCTTCAAGAATATAGAATATAGAATCAAATATAGGGCATTCTATTTGAAAAAAGTTGAAAGTACGCAAAATTTCATATTTCTGACAATAATTTAGCTAAAACTGCTCCACTTATGTGTTTACACCTATCATCTACCTATAAAGGTGGGGTGTCAAAACTATCAAATTATAACCAGACACCCTGTACCTTCCAATATTTTGTATGGCCCCCCCCCTTAATTTGGGTCTGGATCCGCGCCTGATTGACAGTGGTATGGAAATATGAATATGAATGACGAAGACAGAACCTTCGTTCTCATCAGAAAGCTGCCTCTCTGTTTCGAGAATAGAGTCCCTGCTGAGTGGTTGAACTTAGCCGCTGGCACCGCCTGAATGTACCCATTGGATGAGTTGATTTAATTTTTTTTTGTTTTTATGATGTAGGTACCTACGCCTACGTATGTTCTATAATATGCCTCCAACTTCTATACTGAATCTAGACGATGGCAAAGTGGAACGCGGTCTCAAAAGGAAAGAAAATCTTCAAAATATTTATTTCTAATCTTGAAATGATCATTTTATTAATTTTGCGAAAAAATTAGTGCGTATTCCTAGTGAAGATCTGGCTGGATATGCCACTATACGCAGCAAAAGGTTCTGAATATTCTCGAGCTGCTGGAGAGGATCAATTCTAGTAATTAGCAGCGAAAAGGCTT